CTATTTTCACTTTATTTTTTTTTGTAGTTTTTTTTTCCTTTTTGTTCTGTTTCGTCTTTCACAACATGACTAATATGGAAATATATTTTACATGATTGCACATATATAACCTATATCAAATTCCTTACTATCTTAGGTAGGAGGGAGGGAAAAAAATTTGGAACTCAAAATTTTATTTAAAATTAATGTTAAAATTGTCTTTATGTGTAATTGGAAAAAATAAAATATTATTTAAAAATTTCAAGCATTGACTTGAAATCAATACTTGATTAATACTTGAAATTATTAATTAATGTTAGAATATAGAATATATATAATATAGAATTAATTTCAAGTATTAATTAATGTATTAGTTAATGTATATATAATACATTAGTCAATAAGCATTTATTAAGCACCTAAAGTACTGCGCTAAACAGTTAACAAAACTATACACAAAGAGTCAAAAAACCATCCCTGTCCTCAAGGAGCTTATAATCTAATGGGAAACTAAATCTAAGGAAACAAATACGTGTGTATATACAGGATGAACAGAAAATAATTAATAGAGAAAAGGCTTTAAATTAAGAGGAATTGAGAAAGGCTTCCTATAGAAAGTGGGGTTTTAGTTGGGACTTGAAGAAAGCCAGGGAAGAGAGAAGGCAGAGATGAGGACAGAGAGCACTCTAGGCAGGGAAGACAGCCAGAGAAAATGCCTTGAGCCAAGAGATAAAGATTCTTGATCCCAGAACAACAAGGATGCCAGTGTCCCTGGATCAGATACCTTTTCCCTCCAGGAGGAGCAGGCAATTGTTGTACTAGTTCCCTTTTTTCAGTGTGTATTTAAAGATCTGGATACATATTAAAAGCTGAAATTAAAATCGAAATACACTATAAGATAAATACAACACTAAAAACCATGGGAATAACATAATTCATTTATATGATACTTTAGTATTTCTAAAACATTTTTATCACAATATTTCTGTCATTTAGGAAGTGCAAAATTGCTTATTATTCCAATTTTTCAGATGAGGAAGTTCGTAGAGGTCACACTGTGAAAGCCAGGATTTGAACCCAAGTATACTGATTCAAAGTTCAACACTGTTCTATACCTCAGACCTGCACAACTTGACAGAAGGTAGGGGCCAAAATTAAAACAGGCTAAACTTCTTCAGGCAGCAGATAGGTTTTTAGAAGCTCACTTTCAAAGTAAAGGTGTAATTAATGATCAGACTATTTTGCAAATAAACCATATTTAAAAGGGAGAAATTTCAATTAATATCAATTAACTACACTTAATATTTAAGATTTATTTATCATGAAATCACATTAATGTTGACAAAATTATTTTGCTAAGCGGTACAAATATTAACACATTTTTCAGGTTTTCTTACTGTTTAGATTTAGTTAATAGGACATATTACGCTTCTTGTCAGCAATCAGTTTATTGTACTCCAGAATCATGTTTGAAATCAATTTCTTTAGAAATCTGAACTAACCTTAGTAGCTGCTCATTTTCTGAATTTACTTTCTTGAAAAACCATCGTTCCCCACTGAGATTTTTCAACTATTTGGATGCTTTAATTTGTTTTCCATTGGTGTCCAATTTGCTTAAGTCAGGATGTTTTGATTCAAAATGGCGATGAAGATTGTATTCCTTCAGAACGGCCGTTACTTCTCGGTAAACGAGGCACAATATTTTGTCTCCCGTGTAAGTAAACAAGTGTCTATTTGTCCACTCCAGATTAAACACTACGTTCTAATTCAATATTCCATTTCTTTTTATCACCCATTTTACAAAGTCACCCCAAAAACTTTAATGTTAGAACCAAGAGATCTCCACAGCAACTGCTCCCATACAAAGAAATACTGAACTGAGTGTGTCTGACCTTGCAGAGAGCGCCAGACCCTCATGTAACTTGGAGGGTGGCTTTGCAGTGAGGGAGGGGAAGAAGCTCATGCATTGTTGCTGCTCATCACACAGCAGGCATCAGTTGTATTGGCATGTGGCTTCACTTTGTCCCTGTTCAAAGCTGGTAACTGTGAAAACACAGCAAAGAACGATTCTCGCTCCTCTCAGACTAGAGACAGACTGATGATGGGTGGTCCCCGCAAGTCATGTGACAAACAGGAGAGAGTGTGGGGTGGCAACCCACCTGCCAAGTTACACGATGGGCACAATAGTGACTAGTGGAAGGCGGATTAAGGAGGGCATGGACAAAGCACTCATTACATCTTTACTTTCTTTCATAGGCCTCCCAAAATCTTTGGGCCACTATATGTTGTGCAGGCCAACTCTATATCATGCTGAAAAGGGTGGGGAAAAGATAGATGGTAAAGTCAAAAATGAACTAACTCTAAAGTTAGAGGACGTAGGTTCAAATACGGCTTCTGATACCTGCCTAGGTAATAATGAGCAATCTATTTATAATCTCCTTGATCCTCAGTTTCCTCATCTGTAAAATGAGAGAATCGAATTAGATGACTCCTAAGGTAACTCCAACTCTTGATCTATGATCTCATGATCTGATGGTAGGTATAGGCAAATGAGCACAGGATTGTTTTCCTACTCTCCCTACTTCCATTCCCCGATGCCACTTATTTTTCCTTTAAATTTGACAACAAATTTTAAAGGCTAAAGAAAATGTTGAACTAGGTTGATAAAGGGTAAGCGGTGATGGGGGGTGGTAGATAAGGAGAACTAGAACAGAGACAATGGCTCAAAAAGCAACAAACTGAACAAATTGGGGAAAGGGGGAACAGTGTAGCAGGAAAGAGTTACTACAAGGTAGTAAACAATTCAATACTTTATATTTGCGTCTCCATGCCCCAGATACTGATAAAGTAAAGGAAAAAGGTTTTTCCTACTTTGAAATATCAATTATTATAATCAAGAAAGGTATCTGGGAAGCTAGGTGGTACAGTGGAGAGACTACCAGGCTGAGAATCAAGAAGTGTTCAAAGCCAGCCTCAGACACTCAGTAGCTGTATGACAATGGGGGCAAGTCATTATCTGTCTGCTTCCTTTTCCTCATCTGTAAAATGGGAAGAATAATAGCCCCTACCTCCCTGGGTTGCTGTGAGAATGAAATAATAAAATAGTTAAAAAGTACTTAGGACCATGCTTGTCACACAGTAAACACTATATAAATATTTGTTACTATTATTATTACCACCTTAAGGATTGAAGTGCAATAAAAGATTACTGCATTTGGGATCAGTGGTCTTATAACTTCAAAAGCTGGTTCTGCTACTTTTTGTAGTAGTAACCATGAGCAAGTTAATTTGATCTCACTGGGTCTCACTTTCCTCAACTGTAAAATGAAGAGGCTACACTATAGATCATCTCTGATATCTCTCCAAGCTTTAAATCCTAAGAGTTTATAATACAAGAGATTTCCATTAGGAAATGTTCTTTACACAAAGTTGTATTGTTCATGTCAAAACAAAGGGATAATCCTGTGCATTTTGCAAATTCATTAATTATTACTATTTCATCATAGAATCATATTTCTTTTAAATATGTAAATTATTGTAAAAGGCGCATTATAAGGTAATATATGTAGATTCCAAAAGTCTCCAGAGGAACACATTTTTCATCTTCCAGTGAAATTCAACAGAAAAACATCAGATTGAACTTCTATAAATTCAGTTTCCAGAAAACGTTTAATCCATAAAATGAAACACAGCTGAAATATTTCAATGAAACAACCGAATTAATAATACTGTGTGAGTCCTATAGAACTCATTATATAGTTGAATTTTACTTGAGATATAAAGTGGAAACAAAACACCAGTCATAGGTACAACTACGTAATGCTTTAAAGTAGTGGTTTAGGGAATTTTCAAGTTTCAGCATCATCATATATATTTTCTAAGAAATCAAAACTCATTCTCTTCTCAGAAACGATGACTTGTACATGAGTTTTCCAAGTACTTTAAAGCAGTGGTGTCAAACTCAAATAATAATGAAAGCCACAAAACTATACATAACGATCCCTGTGGGTCAAAATTGACTTAGTTATAAAACATAATATTATCTCTGCTTTATGCATTTTTATTAATTTTGTTAAACATTTCCTAATAATATTTTAATCTGGTTTGGGCCACATTTGGGAGTGTTGTGGGCATCCAGAGGCCCACAGGATATATGACACCTTTAGGGAATAAGAAAAACTCACCATTAAGGCAGTGACCCTTTTATAGAGGGTGACAGACTCTAGGCCTTTTCCCCTCATTAGTCTGTGAGCTCCCAGAAATCATGGACTGTTTTTTGCCTTTCTTTGTATCCCAGCTGCTTAGCACAGTGCCTGACACATAACAGAAGCTTAATAAATGCTCCTTGTTGTTGTTCATTCAGGGTCTTTATATCCCTTTTAGTACTACCCTGGTTGTCAGTCACTTAACTTTTTGTATTATGTGTCATTTTTACCCTACCTTCCAAGTTAGAGAATATTTTGTGGCTTCCTGAGTTCTTCTGGTGAACCTACACATAGTAAGCTCTTAATAAACACTTGTGAAATGAATGAACAAATGAATGACTAACAAATGATTAATTATAGAGGATCTAACAACGGCTTCACTAGTGGAAAGAAGGAAGAGAATGTGTAGCAGTTGCTACATATTACTACATCTTCAGAGGATGCACTTCAGTAACAAAACAAAACACAAGAATTTCTCCAAGGAGTCCTTGTTACATTAGATGATTATTGAGATTGACCAACAGGAGGCAATGAGCAAGGTTAAGTTAAGAATAGGAACTATGGCCCCTCCCGTCCACCACACTCTGCCGGGAGCTCTACCTTGAGCTGCTGCTTTGATCAAAAAGAAAAGACCAGATGAGAATCCTCAGTCACTTAATTGTCTAACTCTGTCTCCTGATAATAGGTACCATAAAGGGAAGCCTCTGGATCCTTCAGCACCAAAGGAAGAGTCTCCCACAGATTGCCTGGTAGAGAAACCTGGCTCTTGGATACTAGCCTTGATTATTTTCCTTCAGCCTTCAAGATCCAGGCAACATGGCTTCCATTAGTGGTATCTCCAATGTGTTCTTGGCCCTCCTTTCACTGCTCCATGTGGGGCCTATTGTTGAAGTAGCAGAAGCTGGAAATGGCATAGCACTTCTGTTGGACATGTTTCTCAGCCTTACAGACATTTGTGCCTATTTGGGGATATATGCCAGAAAGAGAAATGGACAGATGTGACTTTGGCAGGGGACAGGGTCTCCCAAGTCAAACATGGACCTGAAAACCTCTCCATGTTTGAGATTTCAAACTGAGAAATCAGTTTCTTAAACGTCAAGGTCCAGATAGTAAGCAAATGGTTATTTTCTATTCAACATCTTGGAACATGTTGCCTTAAAATGTAAAAGCTGCTTTATGTAAAAATGCAAGAAGGGGTCATTTTATTCACGTTCAGTATAAGCCTGATGGTTCACCAATGTGAAAATTGACCAATAATTAAGGGATGATAGGAAGAGGTGGAGGGTGCAGTCAAAGAAATAAAGTAACTATCATTTAACCTAAGTTATGTTCCATGACTTCTGAAGTTAATGAAGATATACAAAAAAGGAACTACCTGTTTAAAATTGTTGAATGTCAGATATTTTCTGCACCCTAATATTAAGAAAAATGCTACGCAAAGAAGAGTTGACGAATCCTTGTTTTGTATTTATATAAAAAAAATCTGTCTAGTTTGTAGCCCCAGATAAATGCTACAGTTAAACATAAAGTTCACCTAGTAGACATTTGGAAGTTTAGAAAATTCTTTCTTCATAAGGAATTTGGAAACATGTATGTTACTACATATTTGCCGTTTAAATAAAGGAAAGGTTTAATACTGTTTTAAAAAAAAGTTTTATATTGATTACTAAGTACCTTTGTGAAACACATTAAAATAAACATTAGACTGCTGTGCTAACAAAAAAAAAAGCCAGATCAAACAAATCAAACAGATTCTAAGAGAAAGAATAAATGTTTTTGGGAAAAAGGGAATGAATGAAGGAAGAGAAAACCAAATGGTCCTGCAGGTCTCAAATAAGGGAAAGTACCTACAACACTAGCTTTTGCCTTTTTCCAGACAAAGCAAACTATAACTGAGAAGCAGGGTAGAAGGATAGGTTGCTATTCATATTACTTCTACCAACAAAATAACAGAATGAAATAGTGAACCAACCAAAGAAAGGAATTCTTGGAAATATATCGTTGGCCAATACAATTTATGTGAAAAATCAAGAGAAGAAGCCAACAACAGGACCATAAGCTATCAAAAGTAGAAGGGACCTCAAAAATCAATGAGTCAGACCTCCTCTCTTTTAGTCTCTAAAAGGTTTAAAAATATCCTCAAATTTAAAAGGAGAAAAAAATAGTTCCCCCTAGGAGGTATATCCTGGTAGATAAAGGAACTAAATAGCAACTTAAGGGAAACCTAAAAATAGTGCCCTTGAACTTCTACAATGATGGACCAGAGCATGAACTGGATTTTTTTTAAAGCTTACTATAAGCATGATACAATCAAAAGGGTATCTATTTACCCAAGAGTAAGAGGTTTCCAGATAATTCTGCCACACACTAACCAGAAGACTAGAGGCAAGTGCCTCAGACTCTCAAACTGTCATCTACTGCCACCTGCAAAATGAGCATGCTGTTCAGGATAAATCCAAGAATATAAATCAATGTGAGAAAAGACTTCTTATTTACCATGGACTACTGGGAAAACTAGAAAGTAGTTTGGCAAACATTATAAATTTAGATCAGCAACTCAGACCATATACCATAACAAGTTCCAAATACATATTAAATCTGAAAAAAAGTCCACATTATTTTTTTTTTAGAAATTACAGAACAAAAAGTATCATCCATAATTATAGTTGCTGAGAGAATTCTTAATCAAATGATAGAGATGTTTGTAAAAGACAAAGCACTAAATTGTCTATCAAATAATAAGTCCTTAAAAATGCTCTATAAATACTTGATTGTGAATAAAATAATAACTATGATGATAATAACTAGCATTTATATATATGGCTAAGCACTTTACAAATATCCTCACAACAACCCTTCAAGGAAGGTGCTGTTACTGTCCCCATCTTACAGTTGAGGAAACCGAGGCAAACAACGTCACACACAGACACACAAGTGTCTGAGGCTGGATTTGAACTCACGTCTTCCTGACTGTAGACCCAGTGTTTTATTCACTGTGTCACATAATCTGGATGTATTGTGTGGTAGTAGTCTATCACTAGGAACTCATACCAGCTAGTGTGAGAACAGTTTGGGGTGAAAAGTCAATACCAGAGAGAGAGGTGCATTTGTCACTGCATAGGCATGAGGCTCCTAAACAGTGTGGGTTTTTATTATACTCTACTGCCTCTACAGCCTAACTGCAGTACAGGCAGTACAGGACTTGAGGTGTTACACTAGGAACATTACAAATTAACATTACCCAACTTCAACTGGGGCCTCAGTGAAGAAAGGCAGGTCTTTTGTTCCTCCCTGATTAAGTTTCCAATTTCATTCACAAGAGAAAATATTCTAAATTTTCTCTACCTTCCTCAAATACCTCACACTTCTTTCCTTTTCCTTCCTCAACTGAGAAAAGGGGTTCTTATACTACTAAGAAAATTGAGGACAACAGATACAAGGTTCCTCTTCTCCCAATATCTTCATCTCAAAATCCCATAACATCATTCCCAGTTTGACAATGTGGTAGTCCTTCTTCCGGCCAAGGACAACACTTTTATATGTGTACTTTATCCTAGTCCTACCCGCTCAAACTGCAACAGAACACAACTTCAATCATCCTTTCTTCCTCCCTTTCCCTTCTTCTCCTCTCCTTTCTCAAATCTTTTAACTTTTTTCAATCTACTGGTTCCATTTCCACTGCCTTCAAACACACCCAAATCTCCCCCCATCCTTACAACCATCTTCATTTGACCCAACCATCCCTTCAAGCTATTGCTCTGTATCTCTCTTCCCTCTCTCAGCCAAACTCTTAGAAAGAATTATATACACTAGTTGCTTCCATTTCTTCTCTTCTCATGCCCTCCTCACCCCTTTGTAAAGCTGGCTTCTAACCTCATCATTCAACTGAAATGGCTCTCTCCAAAGTTACCACTGATCTCTTACTTCTCAAATATAAAGGTTTTTCTTAGTCCTCATCCTTCTCAACCTCTGACATCATCTCCTGTTGGATACTCTCCTCTCTGGGTTTTTGTGACAAGAGTCAGGAAGACTCCTTTTCCTGAGTTCAAATATGGCCTCAGACACTTAACAGCTGTGTGACCCTGAGCAAGTCAACTTAATCCTGTTTATCTCAGTTTTCTCATCTGTAAAATGAGCTGGAGAAGGAAATGGCAAACCATTACAGCATCTTTGCCAAGAAAACCCCATAAGGGGCACAAAGAGTTGGACACAACTAAAATGACTGAACAGCTCTCTCCTGGTTCTCCTCCTGTCTGCCCCTTCTCTGTTCATTTTGTTGGTTCATCATCTAGTCCAGCACTTCTGAAACTTGTGAGTCATGACTCCATATGGCATTGCATAACTGAATATGAGAGTCACAAAAAAATTGGCAACAGTAAAAGGTTTCTGAACACTCAACAACCAAAAATTAATTCAAAATCAAATGTATAATGAATCCAAGGTATTTCTGGCAGTTCCTGCTCATGGTGTATCGCACAACTTCACTGCAGCCTTGGTTCTGAACATACAACATGCATACTTTGCACTGCACATACCGTCATGCCATGCAACACTAACAAACACTGCCAGAAACACCTCAGCTTAGATTAGAGACTATTGTGTGTTATGAATTGCAGTGTTTTTATTGTACATACAAAGTTTTCTGCTGTTACAGAAAGAGAATAGTTTAATTATGGAAAATAAAGGCCTCAACACGCAAGTATCAAATTAGTATGTCTTTGGATTGTATTGTGTAAGAATGTTTGATTTTAAAAACTACTGTTATCTCCTCCTTTTACAGAAACATAAGTGTTTAATTGCCACAAATAAAGACAAAAGCCCTTTTAATAATATTTCTCCATCATCACCGCTGTATGTGTATGTATTTTAAATTTTAAAGTTTTTAAGTTTCAAAATTAAGCACAAACAAATGTAATTTCATACACTAAAGCTAGTATTTATTTGAGAAATTATTAGCAATATTTATTTATATTTTAGGACAAAATATTTTTCAATTATGGATAAGTGGCTAAGTTTAGACAGAAGAAGTAAAAATACTGATGACACTGCATCAGAGTCTTCGCTACCAGGGTACAACCTGGTACACCTAAATTGACAAGAAAAATGAAGTATGTCTAATCATATTTGCAATATGGATTTACTACTAATAATGATGATGGTGTAGACAAACCTCTCTGCTTCATTTGTAACGAGGTTTTGGCTGCAGAGAGCATGAAACCAGCCAAACTAAAATAACATCTCAATACCAAGCATGCAGCATACTGCAATAAACCAAAGGAATATTTTGAACGATTTTTAAAATCTTCAAATAAAGAAAAACAGTGTTTTGAGAAATTTGTTATTGTCAATGAAAACTATTTACTTGCATCTTATGAAACCTCCTATTTAACTGTAAAGACTAAAAAGCCCTATGCAATAAGAAAAGATCTCTTGTTACCTGCTGCTATTAAAATATCAGAAATAGTTCATGGGAAAAAGCATGGGGATGAAATTCATAAAATTCCTCTATCAAATTATACTGTTTCCAAAAGAATTTCTGAAATTAGTAATGACCAATTCCAGCAGCTTATTACCAGGCTTAAGGGCAGCCCAAAGTTTGCAATTTAGTTAGATGAAACAACTGATATTTCTAACATGGCACAGTTATCACTTTATGTAAGATATGTTTATGAAGGAAGCATACATAAGGAATTACTGTTTCATCACCCTTTGGAAGGGCATACAAGAAGAGAAGATACATATCTTAAAATCGACAAATTTTTCACATATGAAGGATTACAGTGGAAAAATTACTTGGAGTCTGTACAGATGGTGCTGGAGCAATGATGAGCGAGAATGTTGAATTCATAGCAAAAGTTAAAGCTGGTGGCAATGAACATATCATTTTTACTCACTGCATCATCCATCGGAAGGCACTCATAGCCAAAAAAATATCACTAGTTAGATACTGTGCTTCAGGACACCATCAAAATCATTAAGATCATTAAAAGCCGTGACCTTAA